AGCCATCTTGAACGGCCGTACCTACGAGCAGACTATACACCGCCTCCAGCATGACCTGCGCGTTATCGTGGGATGGGGCGTCCCGGTGTGCATTGTGGGTCACTTCTTTGTCGTTGCTGTTGTGAAGGCGGTGGGCGGAGAAAACATTAGACTGCCATGGATGCGTTGGTTGTGAGATGAAGGGGGCCGGGGGAATGGTCGCGTGTGGATGGTTGATGAAGCATGAGGAATGAAAAGAACCTAGGGCAGAATACTGGAGAATGGATAAGGCAGAATAATTTGGCTAGATAGTCGAATGGTGTACAACGTCCCGGTGGATAACGCGGTTTACTACTTCCGTGAATGCGTGCCTTGCTTAGCCTTTTGTACTATATCAACATGTTAAAAGCCTAACGTACATGTGTAATCCCACGACGTCATTTGGCTGCACGTACCTTGTGGCCTGTGCTCTGCAAGGACTACTTTCGAAAGCAGAGAAACTGCTAGCAACTCTGAAGTGCTTCTGAGAAGAAGTAGAAAGATACAATCGTCAAACTCGGATTACTGGCGTTAGCTATCACGCTTTACATCTCGTCTACTTGATCAAAGGAGATAGCAAGCGCAACGAATCACCTAGGTAAGTTGTGGATATATTAACATGATCGCCACAGACTTATTAATACTACCTACAGCATACCGCATCCAGCCATAATGTCCATCATCTTCAAATTCACCATCTTGGCAATCTACTGCTACGCCCTCTTTAGTGAACATGTTCCGGAAGCAGCGCGGTTTATATTCGGTACCGCGTGTACGCTCGCCCGATGCGATGACTTCCGGTCATACAAAAGCGACCCGGCTCTCGAAACATGCAAACACAATCTCGATGTCCTTGTACGGCGTAATCGTGAACTAGAGACCCGCCTCAAAGAGAGCATTGATGAGAGTCGGTGGGCCCGATTCAGAGACTACGAAGACGACTCTGAATTGGTAAAGGTGGTGATGGATTGCTTGGCGGAGCGTGTGGAGGAGGAGATTCGGGGGGTTAGGAGGCGGAAGGGGGAGGAGGTAAAAGAAGGAGGGGAAGGGGAAGAAGAGGCTAAAGAGGGACGGGAGAGGAATGATGGAGAGATGCGATCAGAATCAGATGAGGCTGAGTGAACTCCATTCCTGTTCTACACGTTTCAAAGAAAAGAAGGTTCTGGTAACGCGAAAATACTTCTGGAATACTGGGGTGATTTGATGCGCTCTTTGACCTCTCCGGCTTGATGAGTGCAGGCAGCAAACCCAATCTCATCGAACATAGCTACATCATCAGAACGTACGGATCAGATCACCATCGCGCAACGTAGACCCCATCCCATCATGTCATCGTACACCACCATAGGACTAATAATCCTTGCAACCTACTCCTCCGTCTGGTTCGTCCGCATCATTGTCCACTCCCCGCTAATCATCGTATTGTACCCGAAATGGGCCAGGTTCCTCTCGCTAAGCATATCCGTCCTCGCTGTGATCGCAGCCTACCAACTCCGCACAAGCAATCAAGCCCTGCACACAAGCAATCAAGCCCTCCACACAAGCGACCAAGCCCTACAAGCATGCAGTCACAGCATTCACGCGTGCGAGAACGATATCCAAAACGTCACGCAACAGTACGCACTACTAGAAGACAATCATCCTATGAAAGGAGTGCCAGTGTTGAGAGCTGAGCTAAGCGAATGTCAGACGGAGAAGAGTATGCTGGGGTGGTTCGATGATGCTTGGCGGGTGCATGTTGAAGAGCACGGGGGAGACGATGACGGTGAGTGGAGAGGGAAGATGATAGATACAATCCTTGGACAGATGAAGGACTCGATTTTGTCTGCTGAGAAGAAGAGGAGAGCCGAGAAGAGAGAGGAGTCAGGGAAGCATGAAGAGAAGTAGAGGATGATTTGAATGTTGGGGAAGTGTGGAGATGCAAAGAATGTCCTGGTGAGGCGGAAACCGTTCTAGAAAGCTGTAACAATGAATTGTGCGCTTTGGTCTCTGCGGTTTGGAATTAGTGTAGCAAACCCAAATTCACAAGTGTGTCTATATCAACAGAAGAACAAGAAGGGAAGAAACCCCATCACGCAACAAAAACCACCTCATCATGTCACTACGACTCGTAATAGCCGGACTCATAACTCTTACCGTCTTGATCACACTCTTCATCCCCCACCACTTCGAACTCAACCGGCTCCTCTTATCCAGCCTCCCCATCATCGCCGCGTTCACCGCCATCGAGATCTTTACAAACGACCAAGCCCTCATTGCTTACAGCCACGACCTTCAGACATGCAATCACGCTCTTAATATGACCCTGCAGGGAGGGGTAGTACAAGCGCACAGACACAGTCATCACATGGCTGCTCTAAAGGCTAATCTAGGTGAATGTCTAAGAGAGAGGGATGTGCTAAGACGGATCGAGAAGGAGTGCAATGTGCGTGACAACGTGGACGGGGAAAGCGTGCAGTGGATAGATAAGATGGTAAGGGGCATGAAGGAACAGATAAGGGAAGGGGTTTGTGCCATTGGGCAGGAAGGAGAGGTGGAGAAAGGAGAGTAGTGGGAGTGGAGGGTGGAGTGTGTGGAGATGGATGTTGGAGTAGTGCGAAGGTGACGCGATGGAGGCATCTCGCCACACAATGTTAGAATTCGGCGGTGGCTTGGAGATGGCGTATGGAAATATCAAAGCATTTTAATAACCTTCGTAAAGATGCGAGGAGTGTAGCCTGTCATGTAGAAGAATGGTCACGATGAAGGTGGAATTTGCCATCTTGCACGTGCCCTCGCGTGTTGTTAGCGCGAATGGCGCGTCATAGCGAGTTGCATCCCGCGTTACCTGACCCCAACACTTACATGAACATCCGCAATGACGGATATCTGGAGCGGAGATATTCTGCTACCCGACGGCAATGTTATTAAAGGTATACACTCTCACTTATCGGAAAAATTAGTCGCTAATCCTCACAGGCGTCGGTCTCGCGTCGCAAAATGCCGCGTCTTCTCCAGCCCTCCCCGCCACGTCTCTGCGCTTCCTCACCACGGTCGATACCGCCAAGATTCCACTATACCTTTCCGCCGGCCCCAGTCTGGACGTATGGACGACAGAGGAAGCTACTCAGACTTGGTTTGAGGCCGTCCTGCTGAGCAAGCCTACGCTGGCACACGCGCCCAACACTGCCGCGAAGGAATGGTGGGACCTCGCGCGATCACAATCACCAATTGGTTTTCTTGTACAAGTCCAAAGGGTTGAGGAAGAAGGGCGAAAACCCAGAGTGACTGAAATCCTCTTCTATGGCACCGTCGCCGCTTCTACCACGGCTGGGCTACCCACACCACCGTCCTCGTCTCCGTACATCGACAATGCGCACGCCGAGATACTTCCTGAGCTTCGGGTTCACGCACTGCCGCTTTCGTCCGATCTCCTACATGCTACCAGCGTCGACTTCCCCGCCGATGCCGACCCTCAGTTCCTTCCGCCCCAGCACGATTTCCATAACCCCCCAACATCACCCAAACGGACCCGCGACATATTCGAAGAGGCTACCATCGCAAACAAGAAGGCGCGAGGAAGGGGTGGAAGAGCAGTCTCAGCAGCAGCAGCCCGCGTGAGCGAGTCTCAGCAGGCATACAGCCACCGAAAGTCGTCGCTCTCTATCGATTTGAAAGCCTCGTCTTTCTCCGACTCCAGACCAACGTCTGCTTCCGACCATCTAGCCCGCCCTTCTTCACGTCCACTCTCGCGATCGCCGAGCATAACCTCCGATACAAGACCTCTCAGCCGAAAGGGTCAACCCGACGCGCATGCGAGACGATCGAACCTGTCGCAGGTCGCTACGGTACCCATACAGCCCGAAGAGCCAACAACCGAGTCGCGCAACAAGGACGCACTGGTCAAGGTGGTCATGGCAGCGATGCGCATGCATGGCTTGCAGCAGCGGAAACAGAATAGGTCTCGCCGCGCCTCCTTGGCTGGCGCCGAGGAGAGTCAGCAGCGCAGTGAAGAAGCAGCCGCTGAAGAGGCTGCGAAGGACGACGAGTACAAGCTGATATACCACCAAACCTTCAAGGGTGCACAATTGGCACTGGTAAGACGCATATGCCCCCATCTGAGACCTTCGCTGACGATGTTACAGAGAAAGCACATGTCCGAAAAACCGCTACACGCCACGCCCGACCGAATGCGCGACATCGTCGAGAAGCTCCTGGCGCTCTTTCTCTCCGACCCGCTGGCCGAACCTCCGCCCCCCGAGATACCTGCGGACCCAGTTGCCACACCTGGTAGCAGACCTAGATTTGTGATCCCGGGATCCACACATGGCCATGCCAGTCCGTTCGACTTGCCTAGTACACAACGACGTCCTGGCATGATGAGATCCGTTACCGATAGCCATGTTTATACAGGCTCGCCAGTGAGCAAGAAGAGGGGTACCACGGGCGAGACGTTGACCGTGCCTGCGTGAGGTGCCAATACTGGATACGAGAACAAACCAATCACCGTCGGCTACGATGATTCACTCTCGTCGGGATTGACTACGAACCGCGGACGCGTCACTGGGGTCCTGCAGTTGATTTATTCTTGCAGATTTCCTTTCTTGGCACCCGCTGCTACGCTTGTCACCATCAGTAAGCACTGTGGAACGGTCATCAAGTCTCCCAAAGCGGCAATCGTTAGAGTACGTCTCAACGCCGTAACCGTCGTGCAGAGATGATATGCGTGCCCTTGCAGCGTAGCCTTGCGCATACGAGTGGCATAGTGAAGCACGGAAATTAATCTCAAATCGGTTGCCTCGGATATCTCGACACATCGTGGCCATGCAACGTCACATCGGCTGCAGCATAATGAAAGCGGCATACGTTATAGAGTTGCAATGATCGCCCCTTATACGATGGGTAGACCTATAAATCCTCCTCGTCGCCTGATGGAAGAGCAAATCAACACTGACAAGACCAACGAACACGCCCATCACGTCCAACCATATCACATACTCAACATGCTCTCCAAGATCACCGCCCTCGCTCTTCTCGCCACCGGCGCATCCGCAACGGCCCTCCCCCGTAGCGCAGACTGGACCTGGGACGTCACCGACTTCAGCAGCGTCTGTAGCGCATCTGCTTGCTGCTACTTTTTTAATGTCTCCGCACCCACCGGTCCCTCCGGCCAACCAGCCTTCGATGCAGAGTTCTGCTCCGGCACTAGTCTCCAGGGTGGCTACAAATCTTGCGGTGTAGTTGGGATTGATGTACCGGGCGATGTGCAGACGCAAGAGTTCAACCGCGGGATTAATGTCGGTGCGACTGTTAGTGTGCAGTACACGCTTATGCAGTGAGTATATCATATGCGAGGCGGTGGGGGTTGGGGGGTTGAGAATGGTGGGAGCTGACATGTGGCAGGGGCGAAGTGAGGTATACGTACACGGGTAACGAGACTGTTAAGCATACTGGATTGGGCCCGACTGTGGAGTTCAGTATTGTGCCTACGGAGGTTACTGCTGTTGCTTAGGGCGGTCAGGATGTCGCGGTGCGGGTGACGACGAGCGAGCTGGCATTAGGGAAGGCAGCTTAAGCGCACTGCGACTGGCAGAATGGCGAGATTAGCTGAGGAAGTTGTGGGTATGTGTATGCTACTCTATGGACTTTCCATAATCGATCCGGGAAATCATGAGACCAGGACCAACATCTCCGACTCTCCTACATCATCCCGCCCTCTCGCTCTCGCCATCCTATGCTTTTGACGGGGACAACTCTGGTCCTACTCTTCTCGATCTGCCTCCATCACTGCTGCGTTCTCATGCACATTGACGTGAAACGTGCCGCCTGGCGCTACATGAATATGCATGCTTCCACCCTGCGTTACATAGATGTTCGTTCGAGTTCCGTAGATATGGCACGTGTCTATGTTGTTGATGTCGTTATTTTCCGCCTTCTGTTTGTCTTCGTCTTCCGCCTCTTGATTCTCTTCTTCAGATTCGTCTTTTCCATCGTCTTTGTCGTTGTCGTCGTCGTTGTTGCCGTCGTTGTTGCAGTCGTTGTTGCCGTCGTCGGTATCCTCGTTATTCGTCCCGTTGACGTCGTCCTCTGCACCTTCCAATCCCCCCACATCCTCACCACCCTCCTCACCACTTCCTCCCGCCATCCATTCAGAAACCATACTATGACCCACACCCTCTCTCAGCTCAACAGCATCATCCCCCTCCGCTTCCTGGGCTGCCGCATTAAGGTTCGCCAGATAACGGACCCCCAGATACAACAACGCGGTCACCACCGCTAGACTATTCGCTGCCCACCAATTCGGGAATAGGCCAAAAATCCCCAAGTCGAAAAACGCAATGATACAGTAGATTTTGATGATCCACGACCTTTTTTCAGCAGCGTGGCGGGCAGCGGGGGTGTTGTTGGGATTGTTTTGGTCGGGCATGATTTGGATGGTGGAGAGTTTGGGGTTTGTGAGTAGGTTGAAGATGTAATAGTTTGGGATTACTGGTCAGCTAATGGTTTTGGGTTGTTGGAGATGAAGAGTGGTGCGGAAGGTGATATGTAGCGTGGACTGATGTTTGCTGCAGGAGGATGGTTGGCAATGTTGCTTTGTTACTTGTGCGGGGAAAGATCTAGTTGTTGCGTTGACATATTGCGCTGCGCGATATTACATACGGAAGGAAAGATTAGCTACATTTTCCTCCTTGCTGCAGTTCATTTGTTATTCTAACTTGCAATTTGTCTCTTTCCATCCCCATGAATGCCTACTAACTCTTGTTCCTGTTTCATGTCCATCCCTCAGCCTCCACGCTTGTAATAATATGCCCAGCGATGCGTCGATACTCCGCCGTGATGTGCTGAAGTGGCGACGACACGAAGTTAGTGTATGTGTCGAATGTAGTTTGTACGGACCTAACTTACCTGTATGGTATAGAAAGAAGGCAACAACCCTTCACAAATGATATCCCAGCGGGCTCCTTGACACCGGCCTCTCTTTGCTCTGAACTTCAGTCACAGTCAAGGTAACAGTGGTGTGGACCGTAGTCGCATACGGCGTCTCGGACGTCGTTACCGTTGTCGACATGTCCGTGTTTACCTTCACTCCTTTGATCCCAAATCCTAGGGCACGAATGAGTGCAAGGCATGCGACCCGACCAGGTACCTTTATCCTCCCATCCTCTTCGTGTAGCTTCTCGTGTAGTACCGTGCAGATGAGTAGGACCGATGCTAGGACCACTGCTATAATAAAGACTCTTGATATTATCTAGCGTGTCTAACGTAACGTAGTACTTTTAGGTATAATATAGTGTACGTTATACATTAGCCTATATATATAGAAGTAACTACTAGCCTATATTATAACTATATAAAGTAATAGTAAAAAAGTTATAGTATAGCTAAGTATAGTATATAGCTTAAAGCTATTAGACTTTAGCTAAAAGTAAGCTAAGTAGGCTAGAGATTATATATAAGGCTAAAAAAAGTCTATATAGATAATTATCTAGTATTATAGTTATTACTACTATTACTTATAGCTAATATAAAAAGTAAAAAAAAATATTTTAGGTTTATTTTAAATATAAAAAAAAACTTATAGTACTTTAATCTAATTCTTATTAAAGCTATTTAATACTAAGTAAGTTTAATTTAAGATAGTCTTATACTTATAAAATTAGATTAATAAAGATAGTAAAGTCTCTATTTATAGTAATAAGCGTAACTACTATACTATAGAGAGTTTATAGAATAATAAAGTATAGTCTAAATCTTTAATATATATCTTAAAGTAGTAATAGTATATATATTCTAAGATTATAAGGCTATTATAAGGCTAATATCTAGCTTACTATAGTATTATAAGTTAATTATAGTAAAATTTTATTAATTACTATAGTAATATATTATAACCTTAAGAGCTCTAAAAGCTTAGAACTTTAACTACTTTTATAAGCCTAGAGATAGTACTATTATTTAAAGTTCTTACTCTTTCTAGCTATATATTAATAAAGTTAATAAAGTTATTAGCTTAGAGAAGTATATAGAGATTATAAGATATTTAAAGTAGATAGCTAGAAGATAGCTAGGTTTAGATAATAGTATAAAAAGTAGTAATAATAGCTATATCTTATTAGTATTCTTTATATAATACTATATTATAATATACTATAATAAGAAGATTTACTAGTGCTACTCTCTTTACTCTTTTAACTTCTATAGCCTATATAGTATACTATACTACTACTACTTACTATTTTCTTACGCTACTAGAATTACTAGCTCTATTATTTTAGATAATACTAATATCTTTAAGTATTTTCTTATAAGTTTCTAAAGCTTTAGAGGTAGATAAAGAGGCTAAGAATAGTAATAACTTTATTATAAACTTTAGTTATATCTACTATAATAGTAAGTGTCTAGAGCTATATAAACTTAGCTACACTATAATATATAAAAGCTAGCTTACTAGTAAGCGTAAAGCCTTCTTAGTATAGTAATATAGTATTAAGATTAGCTATAATAACCTAAGTAGTAGTAAGAAGATATTCTAGCTATATAAGCTCTACTATTATAGCTTTCTCTATAATACTTTTAAAAAGATTAATAGCTATAACTATATTAAAAGGTATATAGTAAAGAAGTACTATATTAATATTACTATAGATCTATTACTAGAGGCTAATAAGCTAGTATATAGCTCTCTATTTACTACTACAAAAGTTACTAGTTTAAATAAGTTAGTATTATATACGCTATAGAAGAAGAAAAAGCTATAAAATATACTTATTAACTAGATAATACTATAAGATATTAGCTTTAGTATTATAACTTTAATAAAGCTATAAAAGCTACTTACTTAGAATTATACTAGTTTTCTTAAAGCGCTACTAATAGTAAGATTAATAATTACTAGCTACGTGTAATTAACTTACGCGTATTAAATAAGTAAGATTAAAGTACTATTATAAGTAGTAAGTAGCTAGCTTAGCGTAAGTATTAATATATAGATATTAAGTAATTATCTAAGTTTTTTTAAAGTAGTAGCGTATTTCTTAAATAAGATTCTTAGTACTTATAATCTATTATAATAACTAGCTAACTATTTAGACTCTTAGTATAAGTAGTATAATATTTTAATTATATTTTATAATCTTTATAGTAATTATACTAGTGCTGCGTAAGCTACTATTATACTTAATATTCTTAATAAGTTTAAAGTTACACTATAATTATAAGCCTTTATTAGTAATAATACCTCTAATAATAATAGTAAGCTTATTAATAGTCTTAACTAGTACTCTAATATTTATCTCTTTTCTAGTAATTATATACGCTACGCTAGCTATATTATAAATCTTATTATTAAAGTAACACTATATAGTAAAGATATTAGCTAGTTTAAGAATAACTTTATAATAGCGTTTATAATATAATAATATAAGCTCTTTTAATTATAAAGTATTATTAGTAAGCTCTATAACTTTATAAACGTAGTTTATATATCTTATAAGTATTATAAGCTTTTTCTATTAGTATAGAAGAAATTACTTAATAATAATAATACTTTATATACCTATAATACACTCTAGCTATACTAGAATAGAAGTGTCTACTAGCACTTAGTATATTATATACTTCTCTACTACCTAAAGCTTTAGAATAGTATATAGTACTTTATAATAAAGTTATAAAGCGTATTATAATAGCTTAATAACGCTTATAATCTACTTACTAATATACTTACTAAGAAGAAGTAGAAGACTATATAGTAGCTTATTAACTTTCTAGTACTACTTATTAAAATAATAAAGCGTCTTAAAAGTAGTAATAGTATTTTTAAATTTAGATTACTATAGTAAATCTTAATAAATCTATAAACTTTATAGAATTACTACTTAATAAAGAGTACCTACCTTAATTACTCTAATAATAGTAGTAGTACGTACTTTACTACTACTATTATATATAGTAAGTAAAAGCTTAACTTCTACTTTAATAGGCTTATTATTAGCTTAGATATTAGCTATTACTATATTATAATAGCTCTCTACTCTACTTTACGCCTTACTTAGTTTTAAACTTAATAAAAGCTTTATTTTAACTAGATTAAGACTATAAAAGCTTCTATTAAAAAGGTCTATAGTAAGTATTTAGTAGTAGAGCTAGATAATAAAAAGCTAGAGCTACTACTACTACTACGCTATAAGATACCTAGTAGTAATAATAATAACCTATATAGTTAGATAATAGTAGTAGATATATACTACTTTACTAGTAATAAAACACGTAAGTACTAGAAGCGCAATACCTAGCTTAAGAAGTACTTTAATAACCTTTATAATAATATACTTATATAGTTAAACGCGTAATATAAGCTCTTCTATAACTTATAGCACTAGTAGCTTTAAGTTAGCTATAATAAGTACTTAATTATATTCTAGATAGCTACTAATATTTTTTTTATCTCTACTACTAGCTATAAGTGTAAGCGCTACTTTTTAACTACTAAATAAATAATTACTAATAATT